GAAGGGCTGTTTCGCCGCTCAGATGGTGTGTAACGATCGGTGTCAGTCCGAGCTCCTCCCTCTGCTCCTCAAAGGGGTGTTTTGAAGCAGCCCCACAGCTGCTGCCCCACTTAACGTCTGCCACCGGCCTCAGAGGAGAGCTGGGTGTTGGTAAACTGCTTCTACGTTTATCAAAGGCACAGCAAGAAAATTTTCATTATATATGCAAACACACATGTATATTAATGAAACTGTTATATTTTTGAAAATATTCTCAAAAATAAAAAACCTTGAGGACATTTTTCTCTGACTCTTCTATCAAACACTGTGAATCTTTCAGTTGAGATTTTGGAGCATGAAGGAGCAGATAGGACAGCTTCTGCAATACATTAAATAAGATAACGTAAAAGAGGGAGAATCCACAATCCTCATGAAACTCAAACTGCTGGAAAACTCACGGGAGAATGAAGATTATAATGAATAATTCAGACAACACATCCCTGGATCAGAATGTTTGAGCTTCTTAATTTGTTCAGTCTGTTGTCTGATCTCTAAAAGCTAAGTGCAAATGTGGAAAAAGTGAAATGCAATAGTTTTGCAGAACCATTTGAAGCCCCCTGCCTGCATTCCGGAGCTCGGAGGGACGCCGCAGGCTGAGGCTCGCACCGAATCTGTGAGCTCGTGCCTCCCTCTGCTGACTGCCTCCCCCAGACCTCTCTCTCCTTGGCTGCAAATGATAAAGGGCTGTAGTTGTTTTTCCCCTCCTGTTGGGCTGATGTTCCTTCCCGTGTCCCAAGCAATGACCGTAACATCAAGGGAGCTGGTGGATACGAGCTGCTCACATCAGCCCCACCGCCGCGGTGCCAGTGGGTGTCACTACAGCAGTGCCGTGTTCCCCCTGTGACACCTGCCCTGTGGATCCCTCTGCCACTGGAGTTCTCCATTAACACTAAATTAGTGCATGAATCCTTGTTTAGGGGAAATCTCTGAAAGCTGTAAGGCAGAGACTCAAGGAAAGTTATCATAAGCTGAGAGATGCAAGCAGGGACCTTTGGCTACATCGTGAGATTACACCTGGGGAATGCTGGAAATATTTTTGCTGAATTTTAACTGCTGTCATTGTTTCAGTTTGAATATGTCTGTAACACCACTGGGTACCAATTTAGAAATCTCTCAGTCCTTACAGGCAGCTACTGAGTAAAACCGACCGCAGGAACTCCAAAACTTAAAGCTTTTGGTTTCTCTTCTCTTTTCACAAACCCTCTGCAGAAACCCATCCTCTCAGCAGAACATGTGCCCCTGCCACATGCAAGTGCAAGAAATGTACAGTCTCAGCATGGCAGCATTAACTGGAAAAAGTCATACCCCTTGCTCGGGGGTGGAGGAGCAGTGCTAGCAGCCCTTGAGCTGGTTTTACCTTTCATCTGCCAGGGTTGGGTGACCCTTTCCATGGAGGGAGACAAACCCAGCTCTTCTGGGATGATGGAGAGGGATCTCAGTGTCGTAAATGTCTTGTCCATTTATTTATCTTCCAGAGTATTTCCTCAGGTTGAGGGCTGACAGAGATGAGAATGAAGTCCATTTTAACAAATCAAGTCTGTTACTCAGGTTCACTTTGGACTTGAAAACAAAGATGAAAACAGTTCCTGGGTCCTCCAGGAATTTTTGGTTGTGGAAGCTTCATTAGAAAGCTCCAAGGAAAATGGTATCCTTTCAAATTAAAACATACCAAATAGAATAGCCCAAGGGGCATTGTGCTGGGAGCTGAAGGCTGATTTAATAGTGCAAAACCCAATTACTAGGCTGTAATTACTAACGGCTGTGTCGGGAAGCTGAAATCGCTGCAGGGAAGGAGACAGGAGAGCAGTGGCTTCTGCTGTTGGAGCTGCAACCAAGATAAATTGCAGCAGAAAGCCCATGCTACCGAAGAGTTATGGGATAAATTGATGCATTAGAAGCCTCAGCACATTAGATCACTTGAAAGGACATACAGAGCATCAGCAAAGAGGATTGGTGAGGAGCTGAAGGCCTGCCTACATGAGCTACTGACCTCTGCCCTGGGACTCCAACAAACCAGCCTGTGAGTTATGGAAGCAGCAGCATCAATGACAGTGGTATATAGTTGGCCTTGGGATACATTGTAATTTTCATATATGTGCTGAATTAAACCTTCATCCAGAGTACAGGAGATAACACATCTTGGCCTTTAATATAAATAAAATATTAGACAGGAGAGAGCATATATTCTTCTACAAGTCCATGGTGCTGATGTTCTGAAGAGACTCCAAAGCTCTCTGCAATTTATGGACCAGATCTATTGCTTGGAAGCAATGCCAAGAATGTTTTTGAGAAAGGGGAGCTAAAGCTCAGCACATATACCTTGGAACTGCTCTAACAGAAGCAGCCAGCTGCAATAAATGTAAAACACACCAAGCAGGAACAAGAAAGATTGTGTCCAACCTGAGCAGAACAAAGCTTTGTAATTTTAAACCACCCAAGATTTCCTTTTATATTTTTTCCTCCATTAAAAAGCGGGTTGTTTTTTATTTCAGCCCTGAGAAGTGTATGTGCTTTTCACTGAGGATTAATACACTTACTTTATGTTGTAGAAAGAAGTGAATCTGATGGGTCTGTTATATTAGTGGCTCAATCAGATTCCTGTGTTTCCCAGGCCCCAACTAGACCCCACAAAACCCTCGGTATTTAATCTGGGAACAGCCAGATCTACTTGGGAATGTTAATACACAAGTGCTGAAAAACGAGCGTAAACCCAACTGTTCTGCAGGTCAAGAGCACTTGTGTGTCAGGAAGCCACATCCTTCACCCACCATGGGATTTTTTTTCCAAGTGGCTCAAGATGACATGAAGAGCCTCTCCACCGAGTCCTGGAGATCCTGAGACCTTCTTCACCCAACTGTGAGTGTGGGAACAGCTGCTGGAGGGTTACAGGAGGCCTTTGTGAGTTCCCACCCAGTCCTTCAGCTCAGGACATAGTTGAGCTCATCGAAACCTTGATAATTTTCCTGCCTTACTTGAGTTTAGTGCTTCCTGTCTTTGGCGCTGCGGCACTTTGGTCTTTGAGCTGTTCAGCTCAGGAGGCGGAGAGGGGCCCTTAGTACACAGCATGGCCTGAGGTCAAGCGGCCCCGGCAGCACTTTTCACCTAAAATGACCGAAATGTTTCGCAAGAGAAGCGACTGCTTTCACTGCCCTCTTGCTCAAGAGCAGGGGAGCTCCCACGAGCCGTGACCAGTGGCCTACAGGGAGATCTTGGATGGCTGGGGATGGCAGGAACTGGACCCACCAAGGGAACAATTGCACTGACAATTCATATTTGCGGCTACTTTTCTTCTTCCTGGTCTTTTCCCCTACAGATCTGGCCTCTAAAATTTTTTATGCAACAAGAGGATATGCCCATCTTATTTCTGCTGAATTCTACTGGTGTTTAGTGGAATTTGACTTTCAAGGCAAGAAGCCCCCTGGAATTCCTGGAGAGGTGTGTGGCAGGCAGTATGGTGTATGGTCAGGGGAAAACCACAGAGTTTGTTTGAACAAAAAAAATTAAAATGTCCTGGGAGCCATGACATTTAATGCATCTTATTTGGTTTATTTTCATCCTAAAGTGCACTTGGAGAAATGCTGAGGCCATGACGGCCTGGGGGATATTTTGTGAGAGCAGGTAATGTAGTTAAAAAAATTAGTTAAAATAAATGAAAAATAAATCAATAAACCCCAAATTAAATAAAAAAACTAAAATAAATAAATATGAAAGGACATCAAATTTAAAAATAAAAAAAGTAAAAAAGGAAAACAAATAAAAATTAAAATTTACTAAAAAAAAATGAATGCCCCCAGGCTTTTTCACATGCAAACCCATCTTCAGCTCTGCAGTGGCAGTATCAAGCTTTACCCTAAGCAGCAGCAGCAGCAGTGCATGGGATTTCACTTGGTGACTCCAAGGGAAAACTGGCTAGTGAATGTATAGAGCAAAATCCCAGCCCCAGGAATAATCCCTCCCTTTTGTCTAGTTGAGGTGGATAACACATGTTGGTGACCAGGAAGAGCACATGTAAGTTCATTTTTGAGCTCTGCGAGCATCAGATGTTTAAAAATAAAATAATTAAAATAAATAAATAAATGAATAAATACACCTCATCTGCAATAAAATAAAGTAAAATAGAATAAAGTAAAAAATAAAATTAAATATAAAATAAGAAAAATAAAATACAATAAAATAAGGTTAGGTTAGATATCAGGAAAAGGTTTTTCACACAGAGGGTTGCTGAGCACTGGACAGGCTCCCCAGGAATGTGGTCAAAGCACCAAGCCTGACAGAGTTCAAGAAGTGGTTGGACAACACTCTCAGGCACATGGTGTGACTCTTGGGGTGTCCTGTGCACAGCCAGGAGTTGGACTTGATGATCCTAATGGGTCCCTGTCCAATTCAGAACATTGTATGACTCTATGATGGCAAAATATAATAAAGGAAAATAAAATAAAATAAAATAAAAACCTAAGAAAAATAAAATAAAATAAACAAAATAAAACAAAAATAAAAAGAAATAAAATCAAAATGAAATTAAATAAAACAAAATAAAATAAAATGAAATAAAATCAAAATGAAATTAAATTAAATCGAATGAAATAAAATTAATTGAAATGAAATAATGAAATGAAATGAAATGAAATGAAGCTCAGTTCTCCAGGGCACCATATCATGACCAACAACGAGATTTGCTCAGATACCGCAACTTTTGTCGAACAACAAGCGGACACAGTCTGCAGCAGAGCGCTGACCCCGCCCCCTCCGCATCCGCGGAATTCCCGCGGAGCCGGGGCCCCTTCCCCAACTCCCTCCATCCCCTGTTCCCTCCCCCTCCTCCAATCCCGGGTCCCTCCCGCGGGGGCGTGTCCGTGGGATGGGCGTGTCCCCGTCCGGGCGCGCGCGGGGCGCGGAGCGGGCGCGGAGGGGCCGCGGGGTGGGGGCGGGAGGAGGAGGAGGAGGAGGAGGAGGAGGAAGGCGCGGGATGAGCGGGACGAGCGCGCGCCCCCCCGCGGCCGCCGGCGCTGCGCCCCCCGCGCCATGGAGGGATTCCCCGCCCGCGGGTACGGCACCGGCGGCGCCGACCACCGCCCGCTCTTCGGGGAGACCTCGGCAAGGGTAAGGCACAGCGCTCACAGCCCCGGCGGGGACACGCCGCCACCGCCTCCTCTCCCCTCCCCTTCGCGGAACAAAACGCAGCGACGAAAACGCAGCGGGAAGTCCCGTAGTGTGTCCGCCACCCCCCACCCGGTGTAAATGCCCCCCGGTAATGAGGAACTTCCTCCCTGACGGCGGCAGCCCCCTCCTCTCGCACCCCGCCACGGTTCCCGGAGAACCGCAGCCGGCCCGAGTGAGGAACCTGCCCAAATCCTGCAAACAAATTAAAAAACACCCCTGTAAAATAACAAATTTGGTCTCCCAGCCCCCCCCCCCCCAAACCACCATCGAAAATCAGAAAGCTGCACCTCGATGGCAAAATGTAAAAGGAGCACCCCCTAAATTCCAAAAGAAGGAAATGCTGCAAATTGGCAGAATTATAATAATAATAAAAAGACCCATCCTGAAATAAAACCAAAACAACCCCCTCCTGATCAGTGCCCCGAACCAAAAATAATCCATCAAAACCAGCCTAGACAAACAGCCCTCAAATTCAAAAAAACCCAAACCACATCCCCAGAACTATTTCCAATTCCCCCTCCAGCAAGACCCCTTCCCCAAATAAAAAACTCCCAAAACAACCGTCTCCCCCCAAAACAATAAACTTTCAAATAAGCCCCCCAAAACCAACATCCCCCCAACTTCCTGGGGAATTGGGGCTCGAGGTGCAGAGAGTCCCAGGGTCGGGGGGACCCCTGGAGCGGGGCTGGGAAAGGGTGTGGGTGCAGTCAGGGGGTCACTGCGTCCCAGCCGGGTGCAAGTGTCCCTGCAGCCCCCCAAGCCGGGGCTTTGGGGCTGCAGCACCCCGGGCTGCCTCTCGCCCGATTTTGGGGGTCTTTGCTGGAGATGGGGCTGGGGGGCCGCGTTTGGTGCCCTCGTGGTAATTTATTTTTCTCCCGGGATGGAGGAGACTGCGGTGTCTCTCCTTGGCGGTGGCTGACGTGTGGCAGCACCGACTCTTCAGGTGTCAATCCCCCGTAAGCCGCTCGGCCGGGCGGCTCTCGGCGCTGCTGCGGGTCAGTGCTGTGGGGGGGGCTGCGCTGGGGAGGGGGCTCCTCAGGCACTGCCTGGCATCGGGATCCCTCGGGAATCATACTTGGTGGTGTGCACCTGTGTCCAGTGGGGTGACATGGGTTTGTGACTTAGGGTTTGTTCCCTGTAAGGAGAGGTTACCCAGCAACGTGTGTGTGTGTGTGTGTGTGTGTGTGTGTGTGTGTGTGTGTATGTGTGTGTGTGTGTGTCTGTGTTTGGGGGGCGCAGGCTGAAACTGTGCAGGGTTATTGACAACTGTATCAAACGCATCATTCCCCCACCCCCTTCTTGCCTAAGTACTTGGAACTGCTGCTAAAATGATAATGTTTAATAAAAATATAAATAAAGTGATACGAGCCAAATTTTCGGACGAAAATAGGTTGATGTGGGATAAGAGGACAGGCAGGACCCCGAGAAGATGAAGTGAGGGGGACAGGTTGTCCCCAGCAGTGGATTCCAGCCCTGAATGGGGAGTGCTGGAGGTTAGGAGTACCTCTGTTGGAGCAGTGCCCTGTGCTGGGGACCTGTTGGCTGTCCTTGGTCTGGGATTTTGAGAAGCTTCCAGGGATGGGCACTTCTGGGGACCAGGATGTGCCATCGGAGCAGGCAATCCCCCAACATTTGAGCCCAGGTCACGCCTTAAGTCCCTGATCCCTGTCTTTCTCCAGCTGTGCCTCTGCTTGCAAAGGAGAGCAGTAAATAATAAATATGGGATGCTAATTCCAGTTCCTGTGCTCAAATGGGGATCCCGTATCCTACACATCACCCCCAGCCCATCTCCTGTGGCTGTTTTTGGAACCTGTTGTGTGGGCCCAGCGGCAGCCAATGGTCTCTCACTGCTGAGCCCGTGTCCAACAGACAAGGGATCACTGTCCTGGCCCGGGGTCGTTTCCTCCGTGATTCACTGGGGTTGCCTAGAGACAGACGCTGGTGAGGTCCAGAGCTGGAAGCGTTCCGCGTCAGAAATGGAAAAGCTAAACTTTGCCTTAGAATGGGAGCAGGTCTGCTGGGAGAAGTGTGTCTGCCCGTGCCCCAGCTCTGCTTTTGGGTCTCTGCAAGCGATGGCTGTCCTGGCAAAGGACATGGGGCTGGGCATGAGGCCACAGGGAGAGGCAGGGCAGTGCTTGTACCCCAGGAAGCCCTGCACCCCAAATTAGGGGTCTTGCACCCTTGCCAGCAGTTGGAAATGGATGTAGAGATGGAGATGCCCTCTTCTTGCCTTCTTATGCTTTCCTGGTCTCCAAGCTAGTGACTTTGAGGCTAAAGCCACCCTGTGGGGATGGGAGAGTTTGGCTGCAGCACCAGCCTCCTTCCCCTGCCATGCTCCAGCTGCTCCTGCCAAGCTCGCTCTCTCGTGCTGACTGCTGAGAGGAGACTGGGGGCAAGATGGTCCCAGAGAAGTCGCTGGTGGGAAGAGGGAATGCTGTGGATTTAGCTGTGGTTATCAGGGATGCAGCACTGGCAGCGAGTGGGTACGAGATGACACAAAGCAAAGGCACAGCAGTGCAGTGGCAAAGAGGAGACTGAGTGTCACATGTGAAGGACTTCTTGGGAAAGAAGTTGAAAGTTGGGTTCCTCCATGACAGAAGCATTTAAATGTAAGTGCAAAAGGGTTAACTGCTGTGGGTTGAAAGCAAAAAGCACTAGAGAGGCTGAGCAGCCCAAAATGGGAATGAGGAGCCTTCGAGGACACACCAGCATGTCCCCATGTCTTGCAGGGGGTGGGTTGGCCAGCGTGGCCCTGAGCACAGCTCTTCTGTATACAGCTTGTATTGCCTGCGATGCCGTGAGGTTTGGGCTGGCACTAGGTTCAGGGATCCCCTATGGCTGCAACAGGCTGTGATAGCTGCTGACCATCTGGACTTGCTGATGTAAGACATAAAAATGGCCTTTCCGTCATTCCTGCAAAGATGGCACCAGGTATCCACCCTCTGGGGGACCAGTGTGTTCCCCTGTCCTGGCCAAGCCTCTGCCAGGATCCCCATGGGCTCAGCCCACAAGCTGCTATCTTGCAAAGTGCTGAGCTGGAACAGGGCAAAGAGCAAAGCTGTTGCTCTGTCAAAGCCCGTGCAGCAGGTGCAGTGGTGACGCTACACCCTCGGTCCTGCCTCGGTTTCCCTGTTGCTCCAAGTAACCTTTACTCAGATCCCAAAGGATCCTGGATTGTGCCCTCCTGCTTTGCAAGGACTTGACACTTCCCGACCTTGTCTCCCTTTCCCAGAGGGAAAGAGGTAGAGGGACCTCTGCACTGCAGCAGCTCCTTGGGACAAGCCTGGTGCCTCCAGCACCTGCAACACCCTCCACAGAGTAGGAGGAGAGGGTATCAACCCTCCATTTCAAAATGCAGCTTGTGCAACACTGAAACATGGAATTCATCTCCTGTCTGGCCAACAGCTCACTATGGCTGCTGAATGGGAACCCCCATCGATACACTGCTGGGGTGTAGCAGAAGTTGGTGCCCATGTGCAGCGTGACCTCCAGCAGCTGTTTTGCTGTGCATGCTGCATTTTTTTTTTGTCTTTTTCTCTAGCAGCTATTGTAATTCATGGTGATGCTGGAGAAAAATCCTCCCTGAATCAGCTGTGCTGGTTGTGAGAGCTGGCTGTGCCAGCTGGGTGACATGGCATGTAGGAGACATGGCTCGTCACAGCCTGTTTCTGCGTGCCCAGGATCCATGAGTGTCTGCCCGGGCTGGGCTGTGCACTCGGACATGGTGTGGAGGTGAAAGGCTCCGTCATCCCCAATCCCTTTAGCCGTCTTGGCCTCTGCTTGAGTATTTTTAACCTTTTTGCTGTGCTAAGCTGCCTGGGGCTGAAGTGTCAGCAGGCCCTGGGGAACACAGCTTCTCACTGCTTTGCCAAGCCCAGGATTTCAGGATCAGTGTCTCTAATCCCTGGATCCTGAAATACCTTCTTCTGCCGGCAGTGCATTTGGAAAATTTGAGTGACTGCGGGTTTAAGCACCAGGAAGGGGATGCCCTGACCCACAGGGACCAGATGCCACGTGGCAAAGCTGCTCCACTGCTGACATCTGCACCTGATTCAGCTGTTGCTGGGATATCCATCCCTCAATAGTGTCAGAGGAGAGGTCCCTCTACTGGGGGATGCTCTTTCCCACACCATGAAACAGAGGAAAATGCTCTGTGGTCACTGCCAAGTATGACCCCCTTGTTTTCTCCCGTCAGACCAGTCTCAGTCCTGGCAAAATGGGTGAATTCTCGCCATCTTAAAATCGTCCCTCCAAGTCTGTAGTTGATTAGGAGAAAAATAGCCATGGCTGAGTTTCTGGATGGTGTATTAACCGTGTGTCCATCCCTCTGAGCCTCTCTGTGGAGAGCTGGCTGTGACTGCGCTCACTGGGTGAGCTCTACAGGATGGTGACCCACTGCTGCTCTGCAGCTGGCTCCTCAGCCTTGCCTCCCTTCTCTGCTGTTGGAAACCCATCTCCTCATGGCACAAGGAATCCAGCTGCTCACCTCTTGCCACCCTGAATGGAGGAGCTGAGGCTGCACACAAACTCTGATCCCCCTCCATAAAATCGCCTTGGTGGGCTCAGCTGAGTCTGCGGGGCAAGGGCAGAGCAAAAACACCGTCTTCTCCTGGTATCAGAGTGGCTTCTGGGGGTAAGGACCTTTCCATATACCATCTAAATTAAAGTTAGCTTTAATGAATTTATTTTAGCTTAGGTGAAAGAGTCCAACTCAGATGTCATGATTTGCTTTCATGGAGCATTTTGTGCTTGCATTTCGTGCTGTTGCTTCTGTTATTTGCCTGGAGTTATTTCTCTTGGCTCCTTTTTTGGGGTCAGTGGTGGGTACCTCATAGATGGCTCCCAGAGGCTGCTGGTTGTATTGATGATCCCGTGCGTGGAAGCGCTGTTGAGAAAGGGTTTGTGCCTGACTGGCAGGAGATGTTGGTGACAATTTCCTATTCACTTCCCTTCCTATGGAGGTGCTCCCATGGGAGACTAATAGAAGAGGTTTCAAAGAGTCTGCTTGCTGTGGCCCTTTCTCTTGGGGGGTGAACATAACCAGGGCACAGCATCCCCCTGTGTCTGAACCACCTGAGCCTGAGCTCCACAAAGTCTTAGGTGAGGGCAGGTGGTCTCCCACCAGAGCATGATTTGCTCTCTGCCTCCTACTCTTTGTTCTGCTTTTCTCCTCATGCCCTGCTGCTGCCAGTGTTACTTCTTCATGATCTGGGGCTTTTCCCTCTCCAAATCCAAATTCTAGGAGGGAAGAAGGGTGCAACACCAAGTGGAGGAAAACCCATGTTGCCCTGCTTGCTGGCTGGGATGTCTTGGGCAAGATGGTTTCACTGCTCGAACTCTTTTCTCACTTTCCTTTCATCATACCTATTCAATGACTCTCAGTGTAATTAACTGAAGTTCGGGGAGCTTTCTCTCTGCACATCTTTACTGCTGTAGCTGTTCTTCTAGCCTTTGATTTGGGGAGTCAGCCATCTGGGGTGTTACAGCTGACTGTGCACAACCCAGTCCGTGTGTGGCAATAGATATTTATACTCAGAGCAGCACCATGAAGACAGGGAGGAGACAGGTGTCCCAGCAGGGATGGGAATGTTCTCCCTTTTCCTTCAAGTTGTTTTTTCACTCCAGTAAGTGCATCAGTATGGGGTCCTGCCCTGGGTGCTCATGCAGCCCAGTGTAACAGCTAGTCCCTGCCCTGATGCCATTGGGGTGGGACTGTGATGATGACACCTCTTCCTAGGTGCAAAAAGGTTGTGTCTTCTCAGCCAATTGTTTTATCCTGATGAGATCCTGCAGAAAGAAATGTGTGGGGGGGTTATCTGTCCATCCAAGCAGAGCCACTGTGCAGTGTGCTCAGGTCTGCTGGTGTTAGGGTGTAATGTTTGGGGTGCAGGCAACACTTCACCCCCTTGCCAGCAGCCCACAAATTCCCACCTAAGACACTATCGAGCTATTAATTCTCAGGCAGCGAGGCTAAAACAAGCTTTTTCTGACAGCCTCCATCTGTGCACTCCCACTTTGAAAAAAAAAACCCTTTAAATGATTTGCACAACTGTAATAGATTTGGACATAGCGAGGAAACCATTTGCAAACAAGCCAACCTGCTGCACAAGGCCTTGGCCAGTACAACCTCCTTGGGGTCCGTGGAACTGGAGGGCGGGAAACTTTCCTGTGTGGCAGATAGAGCTGACCAGGGAGCCTCAGTGTTGTGCTAGGGATAACATGGGTCCTGGGTGATGCTCTCAGTGTTGTTGGTTAATGGCATGTTTCAGGTGTTTTTTTTGTTTTTTTTTTTGGTCGTGGTGTTTTGGGGTTTTTTTTGGCAAGGGATATGTGCATGTAACCGTCTTCTCTTTTCTTCAGGACAGAATCATCAATCTAGTTGTTGGTGGCTTAACAACCTTGCTGCTTGTAGTAAGTATCCCACATCCCACCCCATGTTGAGTGCCTTCCTTAGGTGACAAGGGACCAGAGTTCCTCCCCAAAACAGGTGGTGAAACTTCCCGTGACTGAACAGGCTGTAATTGGGGCCCAGGTAGTCACTTTGGGACACACCTGTCTTTTGAAGCTCTTTGACAACAGGAGAATACCCTTCTTCGGGCCATCTTCAGGCCAGAGTTTGCATTTTTATGAGTTGGCTGTGCAATAAAAAGTTCTTTGGTAAATTGTCCATCCTGGCTGAATGCGAGGCTAGGTGAGACAACAAAGTGCTTATGTCCCAGGAGAGCATGTTTGCTTCTATTTCCTTCTATTTATAACTTCCCTTTAATTACGTCTTATATGAGTCTTTCCAGAATTTGTCCCTTTGTCTTGAGCTATGCTTTCCCCAAGCTTTACAGACAAACCCAATGCTATTGTGACTGGAGAACATCAGTTCTGTGGTCCCAGGTGGGCGGCAGCATCATTTGAGCTGAGGTGCAGAGAGGCCATAGGGACAGCCAAGGTGCCAGCTGGGGAAATGCTTGGCTGAAGGAATGCTCCTACATGGGCAGTGTGTAACCCTGTACCTGCTGGCTTTATGAGTACTTGGAGGATGGCAACAAGCCTGAGTAGCAAAGTTTTCATCAATGTTTTCCACCCGTCTCAGTGTGCAGTTGTACCAAACAGATTCTCCTCCAGAATTTTGCATTTCCCTCCAGCTCCTCGTGGGGTGGGAGTTAAAGAGGAGGGAGGGGTGTGCAGGGGGGGATGTGAGCATTGTGGTGCCCCAGCTGTCAAAGTGAGCCTCTTCTCATCACAGCTCTGAGAGCAGGCGAGAGCAAACTCTTCATCTTTGTTTTCCTCCACAGGTCACTCTAATCAGTGCTTTTGTCTTCCCGCAACTACCTCCAAAACCTGTGAATGTATTTTTTGCTTTCTGCATCTCCTTATGTTGCATTTCTGCTGGCATTCTTGTAAGTACCGCCACATTTGCCGTGCAAGCCTTTGAGTCTACAGTTCTGAATAAAACATTCTTTACGTGGTGCTGCCTTCTTTTTTACATTCTCCTAGAAAAGCTTTCCTGCCTCCATAAGACAAGCTGACAATGAGAGTGGTAACCAGTTTCGTTATTTACTGCGGTGCAAGCGTGTGGACTGAGCCAACTCTTGCAGCCCAGCTGTGGTACAAGACTTGTCACCTCTGTGACTGTGCCACTTGCAGCTGCCAGTGGAGATAGAGTAGGAAACCAGGGAGCAGAGCAGTGAGATGGGAATGCAGAGATGGACTGTGCTGCAGAACTCGCTTGAAATGGTGGGGGCCAGCCAGGCACTTGCAGAAGTCAGTGACCTTTCAGGCACAGGGGTTACAGGGGCAGGAAGCTACAGCAAGTAGGAGATGTTTCTCTACTCAACAGCTGCAGAATTCCAAGAGAGTTGGTCCCAAGCATTGGCAAAGGGACCTGGCAGGTCAGGGTTCATAGAATCACACAATGGTTTGGGTTGGAAGGGACCTTCAAACACCACCTAGTCCAGCCCCCCTTCCATAGGAAGGGACATTCATAGCTCCTCCTTTCTGCCGTAGCATTTTATATTTGGGGCATTCTCCTTCCTCCAGCTGTGACCTGGAGTGATCTGGCCCTGAGCCCCAATGCTGGGTGAGCTGGGAAGTTGCTCTGCAGTGCCTGGTCAGCCCCAGTTTCTTATTCTACAGCTGGTAGCCACAACTCTGCCCAGAACAGACTGTGTTAGTGCAAACCTGATATTTGTCCTCATCAACCAGGGTGTAGCCAGCTTTATTCTTTTTTACAACATCCCTGGCTAACACCCCACCCACCCTCCCTCTTCAACAAAGCTGACCAGACAACCCATGTCTTCATAACTAGTTTCACAGACAAACACACGCTCATTCTCTCTAGCCAGAAGAAGCTGGGTTGTTTTACAGGAAAAAACAGATCTACAAGTTGCCAGTTCAGTTACCATGGAAAGTCTCCGCAGAAGTACCTGGCTTTTTGAAGTAATACAAACTCTTTTCTCTTCTAGATCTACTGGTATCGACAAGGAGACCTGGAACCTAAATTTAGAAATCTAATTTACTATATATTGTTTTCTATTGTCATGTTATGTATATGTGCCAACCTGTACTTCCATGAAGTGGATAAATGATGGACATTGGGAAAACCCAGCAATGATGCTACTGTGTCAGAATGTTTTCAGCTCAGCTCTCAGCTCTACTTGAGACATTTAAGTGAGAACAAGCAGCCTGAGAGGAACAAAGTGGGTTGTGCAAGGATAAATCAGTACATGATTTTCATGTAAATGTATATGTAATGTCCCTCTTGTTAGGGAAAATTATTGCCATAAGACGTGACATTCCGCTTTTTTTTGAAGAGCTACTGTTGCGCTTAATGAACATTCCAGTTGTACTGATGTTTCAGAATGGCACAAGCTTTTTCATTTTGGAAAAAAAATGCACTTTTTTATTACTGTACAAATAAACTGCAGCATTGAAAGGATCTGTGGCAGTATAAATAAATGGCATCTTACAGTCAAGTAAGACAAATACTCTTTATTTTGCTGAAACTGAATATACAATTATTTCTGTTCCCTAGGCAACCATTTAAAACTACAACTTATTTTCACATTAACAAAACCACAGACTGAAAAAGACCAACTCTTGATTATGAAGAGCTAATTACAGAAATAAATAAAATAATTTATACAAAGAGTCTTTAATTTCTATAGCTTTTTCTCTTGATTCCTAGCTAACAGGCTGCTGCTCAGCCTAGTGTCTGTTTCAAACCCTTGGATGTAGGAATTAATTGTCCTCCTTTGCCTCGGGGCCCTATGTCCAAACTCTCACAAGAGCTATTCCTCCAAGACTGCCACCTCCACATCATTCCCCATCTACTAACTTGTTGCAGAAATCACCTCTGGAGAGGTGGCTGGTAGTGTCAGGTAAACAGTGAGAGAGACAAATGTTCCAACCTACTCACAACAATCTCAAAGAAGTTACAAGCTTGTGGGGGTCCCAGTAGCTTCCCTTTCTCATAGCCCTTCCCTTTTTATTCAGCTTGCTGTAGCAATGAGAGAAAAGAAAATAAAGACTTTCCACAACTGATCTTTCCGAGCTCTGTCCGTTGCCAGCAACAGACTCCTCAGGAACAAGCAGACCAGGCAAGTCCCATAAGCTTCTGTGTCTTCCTCCGATGCCACAGACGTACGAACGAGTCAGATGAGATGGGAATACACACCATTTCTTCATGATGCTGCCCATGCTCCCTGAAGTCTTTGATGGAACTCATTCCTTCCTGAAATGTAACAGTAACTCCATGTATTACAAGAGTCAGTAAGTGCAGAAATCCTCACCCATTCTTCATGAAACCTGTGCAAACTAATTCTTGCTGTGGCACTAAGAGGCTACAGTCCACAATCCTTGACTTCTGTGCAGTTTTCCAGATGTGCAGTTCAGCACACCAGTAGCAAGTCAGATCAGAACTGTCTGGATGGGTCCTGGCAGTGAGCACTGCAACAGAGGCTCCTCAGAACACTGAACACCCTGGCTGAGATGTGGCACCTCAGGCCTCGGCTGGCTGCTCAGTCACCCTTCACAGATGAGGTAAAACAGCCTGAACAGAGAAAGTGCACCATAGTAATTTCAAACTGGAAGTTTCTGTTTAAAGAGACAGACTGTGACTGCTTTCTTTGGAGATGTGGCACAGAGTTGTAACTAATTTCACAATGCAAACGTGGTCGATAGAAAATGGACACGGTTACTGCTTCTCAGTGACAGCTCACTAAATCCTCAACATCCTTTGAGTCTTCTGAGTCAGGACTGCCCAGTGATGAGCCAATAATGTGTGACCCATCTCCATGATGCTGTAGGATAGGATCTGTCAAGAGACAAAGTACATTAGAACTACTAATACTGTGCCATTATAACAAGATATAAAATACGCACTTAAGAGACAGGAAACACAGTCTGGAATTTTAACCAATTTTAAGTGATATTGCTCAAACTAGGCAGTTTGCAATTTCTAGTTTCACAGAATCACAGAATGACTGGGACTGGAAGGGACCTCTGGAGATTATCTAGTACAACTCTTTGCTGAAGTTGGTTGAGCTGGAGCACGTTTCCCAGGATCACGTCCAGGTGAGTTTTGAGAAGGTAAGCGATGACTAATATGAATGCAATCAGCACGACTCACTTTTGGATTCATGAGGCATTACACTATCAGGCCTAGTGCTGTCCCTCTGATGGCTCTGCAAGGAGATCTGTCCTCTGGAAGGCAGTACTTGTTACATGCTGCAGTGTGAGAATAAATCTGTGCTGCTTCCAAGTCTGAGATGACTCTTGGCATTGGGAAGTGTGGCACAATCTAGCACATCCTTCCAGGTAAGTGCTGTGCCAACACACAAACAGCTCAGCCCCTCACGATGAGAGGCGTCAAGTGCATTGCTGATGCCTCTGGTCTTCTCTCAAAAAAGACAAACAAATTTCGTTCCAGCACCAGGCATGAAGAAATGCACACTACAGAAAGAGTTACCATCCTATGTGTACCAGTTCAAGGCTCAAGGGTGATGGGAACAGCTCAGCAAGCAATGAAGCACTTGCTGTTTTAATGCTTTTCCCACAAGGTCACATGGGACCGACTCACCTTAAAATTTCATGGCAATGACATGGAAAATTATTTAAGAGAAAGCAAGTGTTGTCTGCAGAGACTCAGAAGTGCTATATACTGCTTTAATGACAGGGACTGTCATACCTGTCAGAGTTGTCAGGGGCAAGACTGATTCACTATCAATATCATCCGCTGCCTGGATAAAACCATGGGAAGAAGGAACAATCAGCACAGTCTCATCGTCTATTGTAGGCTGATCAACTTGTTCTTCTATTGTTGGGGAACCCAGATCCTGCACAACACAGAAGAACAGGACATGAGAGTGTGCTCCTGGTACCATAAACAAAAACCTGCTGTGCTCAGCCATACCCTACAGTAAGCAATAAATTCTGGATGAATTTTATCTCATTAAATTGAAATGTCAGCACCTGAGATAAGTTTACTTCAGCATTTACAGGGTGTGTTTCATCTTAGTGCAGGCACCCAAAAACAAGATGAGAAAAATTCTACCCTGTGAGCAATATAAAGGCAGGGGGAAAGGGAAGGAGAGACTGCAAGGTGGTGATAAAATGTTCTCTTTCAAGTCATAAATTTTTTCTGTGAAGAGGAATAATTAAGCTTTCCCACTACTTGCTGCCGAGATGTTCTGAGAGGCTGAAGCATTACCTTTACAGTACTTACCTGCTCCACAAACACAGAAGCTTTACCTGAACTTAATACTTAATCTCACAACTTCTGTTGTTGAGTTTTAACTGACACTGAAAAGAGCTCAGAAGACCCACTACTTGCTGTGCCTTGCTTGCCACTTGCTTACTGTAGCTTGGCTCCAAACTTGTTTTCCTGAACCTTTTGATACCAAAAATTCATAATGCACTGACTCCTTCCAGGCACAAGTTGTCAACATCCTCCCTCTCTTCCAGTCCTGTCCTAACTGCTCCTGCTGCCTCTTCCCTGGCTCTTGCAGTACTTGAATGGCACTAACAGCTCTGGCTTACTCAGTGTCACAGCACACTCCGGATGCCTGGTTCTGCAAACACAGTGAAAAGACATCCCAGACACAGTTCTTCCAGAATCAGCAGAGACATTTGGATTCCAGCTTCGGTGTGTAACGTGTACGGTTTGTTCAAGCTTTACAAATCCCTGGTGTGGAATGCTGGCAAATGTTTCTGGCAGAACGGAAGGTATCTGGATTTATTACTGTTTTCTGAGGGAGAAGGAATTGTTTAGGAGAGGCTACAGCCCTCTGTGTCTAAGAAAACCCTGATGTTCCTCCACCGTGTTTCTTTCGGAAAACTTGTTTCCCTATGTAATTCCATAATATTTTTGCAAAGGCAACTGCCTGAAAACCCCTTCCCTGGTACTGCTGAAAAGGAGCTTCCTACCTGTGCAGCAGTTTAGTGAGCTGGACTAGGTCCAAACATGTACCCATTCACACAAGGCACCGTGTGCCTGAGCTGCAAGGGCAGCTTCTGCAAAGTGCACAGCTCAACCTGCACACAAGCAGCACTGTCTTGAAAGGCTTGAAAGTGGGAAGAGGAGGCGTGAAAAACTGAAGAAGCCATTGTGGCAAATGGGCACCTTTCCCAGCCAGAAATAATAAAACCCTGCAGCATGACTGCCTGCTTCCCACTACCCACCCACAGTGACAATACAACACTGGCAAGTGCATAAAAATAACACTGACTTGAAGAGAGCAAAATTTAGGCATGTTTTTCTAGAGTAACTTTTCACTCAGAATCACTCACAGACGGTTCACTATTTCCTAGAATTTAAATACACATCAAACTTGAATCTGACTAGAAGTGTAAGGCAAATTACAATTACAAACTCAGTTTGTAATTCTGTATAGAAAAAAAGTTTAATTTTATATCCCGCTAGCCATAAGCATTTTCTACAGTTTAATTAGGAACTAGGTTTATATCAAAAATTTATTAATTCTACCTCAAAAAGCTAAAATTTTAAACTGCAAGTAGAAAGCTGATAGTCTGCCTCAACTGTTGAAAATCTTATCACAACTATGTCAAACATGAGAAGAAAGAAGAAATGGCAAAATAAACCCCAGCTTTGGATGTATTCAGGATTCAAACGCTTCTGTAGTAGCAGACTTGAGACATACAAAGATCTTCCCCTTTGTAAGAGCACAATGGATATGCAGTGTCTATTATAAACTTTAGCAAAGACAAAGCTAAAGCATATCAATGATGGAAAGCAGAGTTACAGCTATTGTAGAGCACAGTGTTTTAGACAACATGATGGGGTATTTCACTCTAACTTCTCTCTTCCCACATTCTAACCTAATCAAGCTTGTAAGGAAAAAAGTATTTTTTACCCACTAAAGAGTGGTATCCTCTCTTTAGCACCTCTAATTTCTGTGACTTAGTCATTTTCATAGTTTCAGCAAGAGAAAGATGGAGGAATTTAATATAAACAATCCAAATACCTGTAATCATTTGGATAAACTCACTTCTGCATCTCAGGTGTTGGAGCGGAATAAATCTGAGGCCAGAGA